GAACTTTGGGAGCGTGTAGAGCATATATGGAACAACAAAATTGACAAGAATATATGCCTAAGATATATTAACTCCATGCCAGAACGCATACAAGCTGTAATAAAAGCAAAAGGAGGCGAAACAAAATATTAAATAAATATGTTTTATTTTTTCCCAACCCACTCAAACAATTGCTCACATAAATTTTTAATTTTGAGCGTTTGTTTCTATCTCCGACTGTATGTGACTGATATGTACTATACATCATTCGATAGCCAATGACCTAGGCTTTCGTTTGATATACAATATGCCGCACTTCTAAGTGACTCATGTCCCTTGATTCTTCGTTGAACTAAAAACATGTAAACATGTGGGCAATTTTTTGAGTCACTGTACCGATTACAATCGTTTATCTCAATGTCAGTCCTTAAGCAGACATTGTTCTACGACACGATGTGTGTTTGAGGTGCCTTGTGGATGAGGTGATACATGACCTGACAATGTCTTGTCGAATAAGGAACCGTTGTCCTGGAAGTTAGAGCACAGACGTTTCATAAGGATATTGTAACGGCGCCCTAAGAGTAAGATCACATATGATAAGTCATATATGGAAGAACTCCTAACCAAGTAACGATTACTACAAATATTTATTGATAATTTTTTGCCATCACAACATAATGTGTTCAATAAAAGTTTATAAAAGATTTACGCTGATCAAAAATTATAGTAAAAGAAAAGCAAAAAAAAACACGAAAAAAAGTGAATAGTGCACATGGTTGTTTACGTAGTTCGTTCGTTTCCTGTATGCCTTTACTGTTATTAATTGCCTGTTACTTTGTTCCTTGCTTGGCAGTCTTGGAGTATGACAAGAATAGAGACATTACCTGTAATCATTCACACAACGAAGTACAAATATCGATGTAGATAAAAGCAACTTAGTACTACGTCTATTTGAAAATTTATTAATAATATTTATACAATATAAATAATTATATTTACATAAGAAAAATTTTGTTTAATTATAATGCTATTATTTTTAATATATATATTAAAAAAATTTTAATTAATCTATATACTTTATTCTATATAAAAAGGCGTAAATTAATATACATAGGCGGATTAAATGCGCATGTCGTCTTTTGTGCGCCCATGAATACTAAGACCAATACTTTATAAGGCTTGAGCGCAGGTAGAGGAGTACGAATGTACACTAGGTGAAAATTTTTGGACAACCTACCCTAAAATAAACTTTGACTTTTTTCCCTCTTCTATATACCTGTCTTGTGCACCTTTTGGACTAGGAGACAACTCGGGGTAGTGTATATCATGTTGCTTTTGCATGAAAATGACCAGGGTAAAATATGGCTGACAAAGAGAGGGGATAAAGTACAAGAGTTTTTTAAGCGTTGCTTTATAAAATAGCTAATATTTATTTAATAACAAGTAAATTTTCCTTTGGATTTAATTACGGCAGCTATGCGATCAGGCATGCCACTATGGCGCACAGAACCGTGCCAACCGTGCATAAACCGCGAAAAATTCACGGTTTTGAAATAAGAGCCAATCAAATTTATTTATATTTTGAGTAACAATTGTCATAGAAAAGAAACAATGT